TGTAACCTTGAATTCCTGGGTTCAAGTGATCCCCCGCATCGATCTCTACAAAAAACCAAATTTTTTTGTAGAGATGGGGTCTCACTATGTTGCCCAGGCTGGTCTCAAACTCCTGGCCTCAAGTGACCTTCCTGTCTCGGCCTCCCAAAGTGCTGGGATTACAGGCGTGAGCAACTGTGCCTGGCTGCTTGTAGAATTCTTACCCGATTACAGTAAAAGCTGATGTTTATAGAGAACTTACTAGGTACGAGGCATTATGCTAAGTGCTCTATCAAGTAGCTTGTAGTAAATTTAGAATTTACTGACATAACAATGGTAAGCATAGTAAGCCATAGTTAGCAGTTATGATGCCAAAAGGGCGTCCTAGGTGAAAAGGAAACCTGACAGCGACACTTTTCTTACGAGAGCAAAGACTCCTTCCTTAAGCAGAAAGAAAAATGTCTCCAATCTGGGACATGTATATTTATTTATGAACTAAAGAAAAAAAATTACTTCCTCTCTTACTTTTCACAAAAAAATTAATCAGTACTTATACTAACCAGATCTGAATCTAAGTGGAAAGCAGTTGATAAATGCCCAGCATTATACTGTTCTGCAGGACGGCAATCTACCACAAAGAACCGGACTCCTTCCTAAAAGGGAAACGACATTTAATATACTGGAATTTGCCATGGTGTTCACATTGCACAATATAATATTGACAGTTAACCAAATAAGGAAAGAAGTTTATTAAAAAATGGATCTAACATAGAATTAGGAGGACCCAGTAAGTGTAGACACAAGAAAATAAGCTCAAGGTCCTAAGTATTTTTATTCATTTTAAATAGTTAAAACATTTTTTATATATTATCCTTGACTGGAAAGTCTTAAAATATATAGCAGAAGAATGTCACTTTGAGCTGTAAAACTAATTATATTAGAATCTGACAATATTTAAATGTGTGATCATGTAAACACTACAAAGTTATAAGCACAAATCTAGATATGCTATTCCTATTTTTGTGAGTAAGTCCCCAAATTTATCAACAGCTCAATTCCTATAAGAACTAAAAAAGTCTTTCTTGTGTGAGGGAATGAGGGGGAGGTTCTACAATGCTAGTTTGAACTGAAGAAGTTCACATGGGTCTCTTTTAAGCTCAACTGTATGTTTTCATTTATTTTTTAATTTTAGTTCAAATAAAAAAAATGTGAGATGCATGTTGAAAATTATGAATAATCAGAACAGATAAAGTTAGAAGTCCAACTGAGACTTTTCATCCAACTGATCTATCATAAAAGGCCTATCTTCCCATGTCCATTCCTCTTCAACCCTCAACTTTGGAAATACAGCCCACCTTCCAAATATATACCCATGGTTAACTGTTGCACTACTACTAATAAAGAGCATATATTAAAAAATAGCACTTGTCAAACTGCCTCATTAGATTTTCATGAAGATCATAACAGAAAATTATGGCATATTTTTAAAATTCTCCTTTGATTTATGCTTTATGGCATTAAACCATGTAATTTAGTTAGCTATAAACAACTCAGAATTTAACTGTTAAATGCTAAATTCACCCTTTTAAGCACTTTATACAACAACACATTCAGTCACTTTGCTGAAATGTGAAAAAAGATAAAGCAATTTACAAAAACTGGGGTCAAGAATGACAAAAATAATTGTTGACAATTAAAATAACATACAAGCTGGCAAGTTTAAAAACCGACTGTCTGGGCAGAAGATTTAACACATTAATCACTCAAAAAGGCAAAACAGCTACATTGTTGCAATAAATCAATTTTATGGAAATGAATAAACAGGGGGAAATGTTGGTTCCTTGTATTTAAAAAAGACAGTCCCCTGACAAACTTGGTTTCCTTTACTTACCCCTTGCAGCTGATTTGCTTGAAGGATCTCTGACACTGAGACAGCCAGACAAAGAGCCTGACTCAGATCTGCATCATCATCCTTAATTCCCAATAAAGTACTACCAAAGAGGTGGTGATTATCCTATTCGAAGAGAAATTTTTAAACATTATGAAAAA